AAGAATGGACATTTAAATTTCTTGTATCACTTCGTCCCTGTCAAGAAGTGGTTTCTCTCTCAGGAATGTTGATTCTTGTTGTATCCCTACTTTCTGATCAAACCATGTGATACTGCATAAAGATCCATTAATTTCATCTTCTCCTACTTTTACCAGTTAATATCCCGGTTATCAAACTCCAAAACGAATGGTATCGTCGTTTAAATGCCTAAATGGATACCGGTAATCGGAAACATTTACGTTCACCGCGTTATTCCCGCCAGTTACCCGATTAATTACCGTTCAACCGGGCCACCCTTTGAACGGCTAAACACACGACCACCATTTCCCTCCGCGCAGAGAGATAGACAAAGAACAAAAAAAGAGTCGCGTGGACGGGGGGAGAAAAACGTTTTATCGGAACGACGCACCGGCCAGTTATAACGATGTACAAGCTCCGGTGACGAGCGTCGACAAATTCGATAATACGGTTCCGAAAGAGTCGTCCACTCGTTCGAAAGGCCGGTGAATCGAAACGGAAGCCGAAACTCGCGTCTCGTTTAAATCAGAGCGGTTAAACTGGCTCGATGGGTAGTAGCAGGCACACGCGTATTCACGGCGCGTTCACGTCCTTCCCCCACCCACACCCCTCCTGTTTTCGAGCGGAACGCGGCGTGCCACCGAGAAGGTATTGTCCCGACAGCGTTCGTTGAACGACGCGGGGACATAATTCGTATAATTGCGGGACAGCCGGCACACGGGGATTTTTATCGCGGTATCCCGCGGCTTGATACCAGAATGAGCGTGTGTGTGTGCGTGGATATACGGCAACGAACAGCCGGTGACAACCGCCTATGGGACATCAGAAGACAATTGCACGGTACATGTGTGGGTATGGGGACGCATCGGAAACGGAACACTCGTCGTCCGCATGATTTCCACGAGCGAAAACGATGTTTCCCCCTCGTTTCGCTATTCCTTTCTCCGTATGTTACACTCCCCTCCTCTCCTCCACCGACGACCGAGAACTATATATCCGCGAGTTTACTACCGTACGTGATTCGATCCGATTTCCTTTTATCGTTCGACGACCGCGTTCTCGCGCCGGGTTTCGACGTGTAACGCCACACGGTGAACGAACCGTGCCCTGGCTACACTCAGCCGGCTGGAATTCCGTTGTAAACTGCCTGCCCCACCCTTCCTCTTACTCTCCTGCATCGTGTCCCCGTGTACACGAAATTGATGACGAACGTAGCTTGGAACGAAAGTGTGTATCCGCGAAGCACGTAGATAGCCTAGGTCGGGACGGTGGAGGAGGTAAGAGCGTCATTGAAAGTCGGACTTTTCGATCGGATCGTGGTGAGCGGGGGTAGCGAAAAAGTATGCTCTCCCCCGTTTCCGACGCGGCAGCGGAAATTGAAGAAGTTGCGCGAGACGGCAGTGGAAATTATTTATTACTTGGTTGTCCCGCGCTACACGGTACCAATGCCTCCGGTTTTTAGGGGCCGTCTAGCGAGCGGTTTCCCGGAGGTTTTCGTTATTCGTGGAAATTTAGAGTCTCGCCTTGGACGCGTTCAAGGCGCGCCCTTCCGCGTTGTTGCATATTACGAGGTGGAGGTTCATTTTTCTGTGGGTACGGAGGAACGAGGACACGCGGGGAAATGGAATGTTTTTGAAGGAATTTTTCCCTGGTGGATATTCGGGCAAATGTCGATTGGTATGAATAGGTTATCGAATTCCCATATGAAAGATAATACTGTCTAACGAATTAAGATCTTTTTTTCTGATCTGCAATATCCACTGGGTAGTCTTTGTAGAGTTTTTTTTGTCCCAAACACGAATCGGAGCAGAATTGTTATATCACCCCTATCTTTTTGGGAGACGTGTTTTGGATAGTGGATATTGCAGGTTAAGATTTGTATTGGATAGTTTAATTTTTTTTTAATTCTTTAGCTGTTCGAGAGTTTTAAGGATTCTGTTCTCTCTGGTACAGTAAAGTATACGATCGGCAACGCGATATAAGATTTACAACGACAATTTAGGTAATATACTGGACTCATTCCTATGGTTACAGAAGCCAATGGTGTATAGAGTCGTAATGAATGTTACCACCAACAATTCGGAAAACACTTCAAACTGAATATTAATTTATTTTCCTTCTCATGGTATGTTACCTTGATAATGTATTACAGAATACCTCGACGTGCAAATATTATTCGAGATTCCAAAACAGTACGTGCATGGTGCTAATGTCCGAGGGCAGTTACCCCGAAGCAAAGACAACAAAGTGAAAGCTTAGGTAGCACGTAACGAGTGTAATACGGGAAACAACGTTGTTCTCCAGAGGGACAGATTTTGTAATGAACGAAGATCAGAGTGGTATAAATACTTTTCCATGTCCAAAGTGTGGAAAGACACGGTTATCGAGTCGCCGCGGGAAGTTTAAATGGTATCTTTATCCAAGCAACTTCTAAGTACGTTTAAAGAATTTAATTTCTTTCTCAACTAGTTACCGATGTACGATTAAACTTGGCGCTCATCTGGCAATAAAGAGCGCCATTATATAGCTTACCCCAGTTTAAATCCGTAGCATCTTATTTTCAACGAGGCGGATTCCTCCCCCTCGGTTGTCGAGACAGGGTGCAGTTGTTAGCTATCAGCGTGCACGAGTCCGACCACCCCACACACCCCATCTTGGGAAGCCTTTATCGAAACGCTAAACGCGGAAGCAATATCGACGGTGACTGCCGGTTCAAAGCACGACCGTTCGCGCGCGCTCAAAGCGAAAGAATGGTTCTTGTTTCCTTGAGGAATTCGAATTTTCTCCCAGATTCACTGCGTTACATTTTCAAGAAGCCAGCGTCCCTGTTCATTGGAGACACCGAGGCTGGGTGAAGTGTACCATGAACCAAAAGAAAGGGAATGAAGACTAACGAGAATGCAAAACCAACTCGTGACCAATCACAGATCCTATATTCAACCTATATATCACCATCCTGAAATCGTTAAGTAACTTTGACAGTATCGTTCCCACCCCCTCGACCGCTGATTTCCTACACCTGCAGGGGCCCCGGTGATCGTTTTTTTCTTTCTTTCATAATTCGCAAGGGTTTCTTGCTTTTTTGCGAGGTCGGCCCCTCTCGCGCGCGTACCAGCAGGTTTTTATTTCAACCGCTTTATATTTTATATCCAATCAGGCCGTTCTCGAACGCGCTCGGCCAGCCTCATTCGTGGAGCCTTTCACGCGTCCGGGGATAACATAAATGGATATTCCGGTGTTCTTTTACTTCTCCTTCTGTCCCCTCCCAGCCGTGTTTTCGCATTCACGCGTGACGCGTTGGGGCTCACGCCGCGTGTACCCTCGGCTCCCGCCTCTGTTGCCTCGGCGGTAAATTAAATTCTAATAAAGCTCGCCGAAACCCCGGAGGAAAAAAGCGGCTCGGTCGTTTACGGGACGAACAATGGCGAATGGAAGGCGTCGTCGTCGTCGTCGTCGGTACCGAGCCAGTCGAGGGCCAGCCGACGCGAACCGCGGATAATTATATCGAGGCGGCGACCGGGAATCTCGCAGAAAAACTTGTCTTCGAGCCTCTGCCGAGAATACGAACGCCGCCTCGAGAGGGTTAACTAACCCGGCCCTTGGTCCTCTCGACCGTTCAGCTAGGTGTGTCCTTTCCTGGGACGCGTTGAAACCGAGGAAAAAAAGCGACGCGGTTGAATAGTTTTCGTACACTCCTCTCTCTGCCCGTCGTCCCTAAATCGCCCACGGCTCGTAGGTCCTGATTCTGTCGCCTTGTTCGGACTCTTTGATAGTTTCTCGTTTCGGGAATTCGTGTGTCGTGAGAAATTGTCGCCACGTGACAGAGACGTTTCAAGGTCTTCTTGGTTTTTATGTTTAGAATCCTATTACATTGTATGTTAGGATTTAATCGTCTTATGAAATATCATAGACGCCATATTCTTGGGTTTCTGTTTGTAAAATTGAAGTGACGAATAATTATTAACGTATCCACGTTTTGTATTTGTCCATATGGGAGTTGTCGCGTCGCGAAGTAGCGATTTATAGCATCTCGACTGTCTAAATTGTTTTGTTGCCATTAGATACTGTGAGCCTGGATTTCTGGATAGATGCAACCCGTATTTGAAGACTTTTACTAAGTTTTAAGACAAAGGCTGATTCCAGGAATCCAGGTATAATGCGTAATGACAAGGACGGAAGGTTTCTTGGTTATTTTCCATCTTGCTTGGATATGACCCACCTTCAACCGACCAATTAGCTTTAAGGAAAGCATCGACAGCTTTTAGCCAATAGCAAGGACTCTCCCTCCTTCGTTGTTTGTCTCGACGTCACATCCAAATAGAATCTTTAGTTGAATTTCAAACATCGATCAGTCATCTTCTCTGTGTGTACATAGGTCACGTCACCTCCGTTACTCCGTTATTTATTTTCTTGTTTCAAGAAATCGTTATTTGTTGATTCACTAAGTATTTGTTCTCTTCTTTGAATTTATATTTTTGTTTATTTACGTGATAAGGATTCATAATTGAGTTATATACCATATAAGTATTAAACGTTTACTAAATAATCAAGAAATATTTTAAAACGAAGATAATAAAAAAATAATACAAGATATAGTGGGAACAGCACAAGAGAAGTTATAACTTTGGTCTGATACGAGCCGGACCTTACCATTAGAGGGTTATGTAACGCGTCTCATGCGACAGTTTTGAAGGTAAAACACCTCTTAAGTAAAATTACTGTTATTCCCTCCAAGTTCTCTGTATGATTATGACACAACAGTCGTATCCCGCTATTTAATAATAGGTTTTCTACGGGAACCTAAAACATACGAAGTCTGTATACCGCCCCGATCGGTGAATGTTCTGTGTCCCTTCAGAAAAACGACGGAAACTCGACTCCAAGAGGGAAAACTGGTCCCGCGACGTCTCGTACATTATCCTAATGTTTTTTACTGGTCGATTGGCGCGGAGTTTAACGGAAAGTTATTGCCCTTTTCCAGGACCGGCACGTGAAGGACGCCAGCAAAGACCCGGAGATGGACTCGAGCCAAGACTATACTCTGCTACTGGGTTACGAGAACAAAACGCACACGGTTCTCCGTTTCTTCAGGCGATACGATACGTGCGACCCACGAGACCTCAAGATCACGGTAGGTGGTTTGATTTATGTGGCCTTCCGCCGCGATGGATAATTTCCCGCTCGCGAAGTGCTTTTACACGGGGATCATTTGATGGATTTACGAGAAAAATTGATCGGCCGAGCGTGCGATGCCAGCCTCCCGGTGGGGTGGAATTATTTATCGCGGGGCTCTTTGGGAAATTGAACACTGTAGCTGTACTGACGTAAACTGATTAACCCGATCGCTAAAAACATTTCCCTTAATCATACTCTTTTTTTTTTTTCCCCTGTAACTTTACTGAATTTTTTTAATTACACTGGAGTTTCCTATAGCTACGGATCATTCTGGTTTCATAGCCTTAAATTCTAACTTTCAGTAAAAAGAAAACAGACTGTTGGTGCAGCTACAGAAAAAGTTTCCCTTAATTGCAACACGAAGATCGATAAAAGAGACAGGAAATTCATTTTTACGTTGCAATTAACTCGTATTAATCAGCACTTGTATGCGTTACTCGCGCTCGAATGCCAGCGAAAGTGCCCAGGCATTCAACTGTTCACGGTCGGCTAATCAGACGGGTGCCACGGTCCAGCGGATCGTCACGGGCGACGTGTGGGACGATCGGCTTGAACGTTTTATCGGTTTCGAAACGGACGGCTCGTTATCGCACGGGCGGTTCTCGTACTGGTTGTAGAACGCGCGCTCATGCGGCCCAGTTCTTTATTTCATCGATAATTAACTCAGAAGTAGATCGCATGATATAGCCGTTCGTTCGCCAGGGGGAGGCTGGGAGGCGCCTCGGCACGGGCTTAACTGGAAGAAAAGAGATTACGCGAAGTATTGCGATTTGCTCGAAACGGGCCAGCCTACAATTTATGGCTGCGAAGCGGGAGCACGAGCGCGCTCCCGTTGCACCGCTAAGCTTCGAAAGGGCTGGTCGCTCTCCGATAATGGCACCATTGATATGCAGTTAAGGCTTTCTACGTCTTGGAAATGCTTCCGAATACCTTCGTGAAAAGAACTAACAGGCAGGTATTTTCGATACACGAGATTTCATTAAGATACAAGAAATTATTATTATGGGTCGCTAAATGTTTTGATTGGTAATTGTTTAGAAATGCCTTTGACCGCTTAACAGAAGATCTTCGGAAATTTCCATTTGCCGTTCATTGAAAACAATTACAATTACAATCCACGTCCGTTGCTTATTTTCTGACCAAACGAGAAATTAAGATTTTTTCTTACGGTGAATTCTAGCAGTTTATAGGCACCGGATTGCATGCGTGGCAGCGATTGGGACTGAATTTGTCTAGGGAATAATTACACGGGTTACTGTTTCGTGTGTCAATATCATCCGAAGTCGTCGATATTAACGTCCCGCGGCGCGTACCCGAAACGGTAGCGATGAGTCGCGTCGGGCGAACGTTGAATATTCCCGTTCTGTGTACGCGTAAATAATCAACGCGTGCAGCGCAAATATTGGTCGGCGAAGTTGAAGAGAAACGTTGACGAAACTGTCGTATTGAATTTCGGCAGGGGCGACACGGTACGCGGACGAAAATACCGGAATAGGATTGCTTCGTTTGTGCGGTAATTACATGATCTTCTTTGATGGTGAACAGCTAATACAATAGTGTCAAAAGAAGCAAATTAATCATAGTATTGGCAATCAGTCTTGGATGGAATAATTTTGGTTCGATCGACTGAATTAATTGATTGTTCGTTTAGTTACTGATTGTCCAAGAAACTTATTTATTCATTTATATTAGAACGACGGTATGTGAGGTGCCAACTATTAGTGGTCAATGACCCGACACTGACGTCACGTGAGTGTCAACTGGCACTTTTTGGATATTCAAAGTTATTGATTTTACAATTGTAATTTTTTCATATTTTGTTAATTCTTGACAAAAAATTTACTCGTGGTAATCTCGGGTCGTCGATAATATCCAACATTATTTCATACGTTTACAATATGATCAGATATACAGTCAGTAATCTCAATTACTCCTTTCTTCAGGGAAGTTTGAATTAACTACTACAACAATACTCATTGCTGGAGACTGTAGGTATAACATCAACTGAGCGGTCGGCCACACGTACGCGCATTGTCAAGAAGCAGAGGCCAGGTAGCTGGGTCTCGCGTACATGTAGCCGACCGCTCAGGAGCCGCTGATTGGAGTTCGTTCAACTTCTAATATCTCGGCAATGGAGCTTCATATTACAAAACAGTAAAAGACTTTTCGATATGTATTTGCATAAGAAATATAGCTGTTACGGCTTGTCCAATCATTTTTGGACACCCTGTACACTATATTCCATTGCATTTGATGAGCACTATAATCTTCTTTTATAATCTCGACACGTTCTCTCGTGCAGCAACCACGTAGTAGGTAACCGAACTCCAGTTTCGCGACGTACGTCGACAACGAAAACACGTTAATTCTCCGGAATGACGGGATTATACGGATGAAGATTTCAGAATTCCGTTGTCGCGAGGCCCGATCTCCTTCACGTAGCCGCTAACCACGATTTAGAAGAAAAAAGAAAGACGGTCGGGGAGCTACCCCAGGTGATCTTGATCTCGGGGAATCCGTTACAGAGAAACTGTATGTCCGTTGCGGATGGTAGTCCCTCGCGGGTCGAGGGGACGTCCATCTAGCAGTTGAGTCATCAAAATAGTTGGGTGCAAAAATAAAGCGAGCCACCGCGGGGCCGAGAGATTCTATCTGGGACGACAAACGACGAAGTCAGCTCCCCTTTCCTTTATCTGATCGCGTGATGTATCGGTACCCTACATGATATTTTTACGTGTCACGTTCGCCCCGGCAGAACGGCAAAACCCCAACCTCCCCCCATCCTGCATTATGCCTCGCGAAAGGAACCGCTGAATCCGTAGAGTAGGGCCCCGAGATACTTTAAATGGGAGCCTCTGCGGACTCGGTGCATCGTACGTTCCTACAAGGTTATCGGTGATCGGGGACGCAGAATGTATGGCGAGGGCCACCCTTGTTTTGAAAAGAAAACCGTGGTGCCTTTAGCAGCTTGCTCCCGCGGGTTACAATAGCGCTAGATAATTCTCCGTGGACATGTATGTAGATAGTGAACTTTGAATGAATTCTGTATACGGAGTTTCACTTTCGAGGAGATCTAATTTAAATCCAGTATGTCATCGATTCTACCATTAACAGAATAAATGGCATAAAATGTCTACAGACTAAAGAGTCATAGAAAAAAATTGCACGTCGAAAGATATACACGTCACTTGCATATCTTTCGCGCCAAATCCGGATAATAATCATGACATGACCGATCAAAAGAGAGTCATACATCGTTAGTGGATGCTGTCGGGGAAAGATATTTTAAGGTCTGGCGTCAAATTCTCCGTCCTCCCTCGATGTACACGACAGTCTGACAATAAATCGACGTTTCACCCGATAAGAGACGAAGATCGAGCCAGATGAACACGGTGGTGGGGGAACGAAAACGAATTTGAAAAGCAGGCGTCGATTTCGCGTCAAATTACCGGTGTACAGACGGTGTTCGCGTGTATACGAGGCGGTGTACTCCGATATCGACCGCCATCGCAAATTCCCAATACAGGTCTCGGGCCGCTTTGAATCATTGTTATTTTTACCGACAATCGCAATCGAATTAATCGAATGAACATCAAATTAAGCGATGCTCCGTCGGTAACCGGCTTACCAGGATGGGGAGGAGTCTAAAGGGCTTCGATTGCATCTTAATATCGCGCACGGTCCCTCCTTCGGTTTAATATGCAGACAGTCTCATCAACGGTATGTGAAATTAAGCTCGAACTACGTCGCGAATGACACACAACCGCCAGGAACGGGTCTTGAGGTCGTATTCAGAGAGAGAGAGAGAGAGAGAGAGAGAGACAGAGAGCGTGAGGCTGGTTCTCCCATGCTTGTGTACGTTTCTCGTGTGCTCGTAATTAGTTCGTTAACGGGGGACGTGGAGGATACGCGTGACATCTCGGCACGCATTGAAATCTACATTTTTGATAATTAACCACCTCCGTCTGGGTGCAAATTACAAGACAGAGTTATGGAAACCAGTAATTATTTCGTTAGCTGGCGTCGAACGCAATCACACACGAGACGCAGGCCGGTCAGAGAATTTCAAACATCGGGGTACTTTGAGGCACAAAGGCGTTTCCTGCGTTTCCAGACCGCCTCAATTATTTTGGGGCATTAGTTTGGCGTACACGGTACCGCACGGATAATTGTCCCAATTGCTGTCTAGGGATAATTGTCCGAGAAGTGTTAACAGGACGTGTACACGGCTACGGTAGATTTTAGCAGTGGTTTCTAATTCGATACTTACCTGTTCTTCTTGTGTAAAGCACTTATATTTGTTATTACGCTATGACGATCAATGACGCCACAGTTACGCCATGCCAGAGTGCCAATTGTTAGCACTGATGTCACGTAAGCGCTGACTGATACTTTTCAGATATTCAATGTTATGCAATTTTCTAACATACATTTCAGAATCCATATTCTGTTAATTCTTGGCAGAAACAGAGGGCCACTGGTGAAAGTTATTCGCGAAACTAGCCAATTGTCATAAAGCTACTGCTAATAATATCACGAACGGCTGAAAAGCCTCGAAAATCCTCGGTTGTTTGAACCGTTCTGCCTTTTGGCAGACTCCAAGGCATGTAATTCTAGCCTGTTACCTTTTCTTCCAGTCGGATAGTATACACAGATACAGCATAGTCTCGACGAATTGCTCCCCTGCTGACTCTATCGGGCACGAAGAAATATTCAGCAACCGTGAGGATCGAGCATTGCCCCAATCCTTGCGTTTGTTCACGGTTCGCGCGGGCAACGCAAACATCCGTCCATCCTTTGCATCCGATAAATTTCTCCATACGCGAACGCGGTCCGCGACGTGGGGTCGCAGTCGGGATACTGGAAGTCAGCCGTCACCGGTGGCGAACTCTCGGTCTCTTTCCTCTGTCGGACGTCGACGATGGAAACCGCAAAAGTTCCGTGGTAACGCAGCAG